CAGCCATTGAGCTGTAGCTTCAGCTTTACGAGTTTTTCTTTATCTCAGGTTGTTTGTAAAGTCTGGTAACCTGCTCTTTTTCTCTGCATATGATTTCTGCTCTGCACTTACACTGTTTTCCTAATTATCGCTGAGATTTTGTCTTTTGCACCCTGGCATCCCTTTTTCATCTATATTCATAAAAAAAAAAAAAACAAAACAGAAACAAAAAACTTTGATCTTCCTTTCATCGGTGTCTCCTCGTATACTTGCAAATCCTTGGCTGTTTTGCCCCATTTCACCATCTACAATGGCACCTTCCACCTCTAACTTAGGTCTGTTTAATAAATAATCAAGACAGGAGAGAAAAGCAATGGGCAACTAGGAGCTGGGTTGGAATTTCATTTTCCCCTACTTGCTTTATATTACAGTGTTTTTCTTTCTTTCTTTTTGTTTCTATTAGTTCTTAATGTAAGCAGGTGAAAATGGGTTTCACTTGGCGTTTCCATACACTCTTAGGTTCTGTTGAGCCTCCACGTGCTCTCCCCACTCCCTCCTGCTTTCCTTCCTCTCAGTCACCTTCAGCCTTCATGATATGTACTCCGTGACCCTTCTTCCCTGTCCTTAACTTCTCCTTTCCCACTATCATAACTTCTTCTATAGTTTCATGGTGTATACATGCACGCACGCCCTCCCCCACATACTTAAATCCATAATGCATACATGAGAGAAAATGTGTATATTTATCTTTCTAAGTTGGCTTGCTTAATTAAACATAATAATCTCTTGTTTAGTCCATTTTTCTTGCCTATGTTACTGTTTCATTTTTCTTCGCAGCTGAACAAAATCTCATTACATATAGATGACACGTTTTTGTGACTTATATGTTGGTGGACATCTAGGCCAATTCCCTTTTTTAGCTATTGTGCATAGTAAAGCAATAAGCACAGACGTGAAAATATTTCTGTAGTAGGGTGAAGAGAGAGTCCTTTGTGTACCTGGGCCATATGGTAATTCTATTTTAGTTGTTGTTTTCTTCTTAAATAAACTTCCATAATGATTGCTGTATTGCCTGTACTAGTTTATACTCTCATAAGCAGTAAGAGTTTCTATGTCTTTATATTAGCAGTAACACTTGTCACCTGTTTTTTAGATTTATTTAATGTAAACGAGTGTTCTATCTACATGTACACCTGCCCGCCAGAAGAGGGCATCAGATCCCAGTGTAGATGGTTGTGAACCACCATGTGGTTGCTGGGAATTGAACTCAGGACCTCTGGAAGGGCAGACAGTGCTCTAAACTGCCGAGCCATCTCTCCAGCCCCATTGTAACCCTTTTATATGTCAGCCATTCTGCTGGCGATGAAGTGGCACCTCCAAGCACTTTTCATTTTCATTCCCATAAAAGCTAAGGATGTTGGCTTTTTCACGAATTTATTGGTCATCTGTCCTTCTTCTGAGAACCATCTTTTCAGTTTACTGGCCTAGTTATTAAATGGAATCCTTGGCTTACAGTTTTTGGTATTAAGTTTCTGTAGGTTTTCATCTATTCTAGATATTATGTTCTTCTGTTTGAATGATAGCAAGTACAGATTTTCTCCCATCCTGTAGGATACCCCAATACATGGACTAATGAACTGAACAGTCATCCAGCTTGTTAACTTGATTCCTAGTTTCTTTAGGACTTGTATCATGAGGGTGTATTAAACTATATCAGGTGGGTTTCATTTGGCGTTTCCATACACTCTTTCCATTCACCCACTGTCGGTCATGTGGTTTCTGTCCTTAGTTCCCTTTATATGGCATATTCCCCTTAGCAATAACCAACCCTGGGATGAAATAACTCAAGCATCTTTTAGATTAGATGCTAACCTCCCCCAAATTTCAATAAGCTCATGTTCATTTAGACAACTGAAGAAATGTCAGAAGAAATATACTAATGTTGTAACATTTCATTTTTCTGTAGAATTCTACCATGGCACCAAGGACTATTTAATTTTGGTAGAATTTTCTTTCCTAATGCAGTGGACACTAACTAGACTCAAGTTTTTGGTGACCTGAGAATGATGGTTGTACTAATTCTGCTGTTGCAGAAACAAGCTATCACAGAGCAGGGAGATGAAAACAACAGATGCTTGTTATTGTACAGCTCTGGAGAGAAGAAATCGGAGTATTGGTGTCACGTGCCTAGTACCAAGACACCAGTAGGGCTGTGACCCTCCTAGAGGACCTTGGGAAGAATATTTTCCTTGCTTTCTTCAGCTTCCTGAAGAATCTATGTAGCCTGATTGTCAGTATATGTCAAACATTCATGTTCCAGCAGTCTCTGCTGTATCACAGTTCCTTCTCTGACTACTGCTTTTCTCGACTTTCATTCTGATCTGAAAGCATTCACATCTTGCACCATGTAAAAGCAACACATCCATTCACAGGTTCTAGGCATTAAGGCATGGCCATTTTCAGGGATCATTATTTTAGCTAACACAACAGCATAACGAATCTAGTTTCGGCATAGAAAGTTCTAATGTATCTGCTGATACTGCAGTATGCTGTCACAGTTTTAACTCATTTTCAAAGTGTTTTGTGACCACATCTGTGCAGTCCCACCTCATCATCTCTTTAGCTATAGCTCATATTTGGTTTCCACTTCTCACTGCTCTGGACATACAACCTCTTGGGCTATTGAGCCTATTTCTTTTGTTTAATTAAATTTTTATTTTTTATATTAGTCAGTTTATTCACTTTGTATCCCAGCTGTAGCCCCCTCTCCCTCATTCCCTTCCAATCCCACCCACCCTCTCTCATCTTCTCCCTGCCTGTCTCTAAGTCCACTGATGGGGGAGGTCCTCCTCCCCTTCCATCTGACCCTAGCTTATCAGGTCTCATCAGGACTGGCTGCATTGTCTTCCTCTGTGGCTTAGCAAAGCTGCTCCTCCCTCGGGAGTGGGGGGGGGGGTGTCAAAGAGCCAGCTGTTGAGTTCAAGTCAGAGACAGTCCCTGTTCCCATAATTAGTGAACCCACTTAGATGCTGAGCTGCAATGGGCCACATATGGGCAGGAGTTCTAGGTTATATCCATGCATGGTCCTTGGTTGGAGAAACAGTCTCAGAAAAGACCCCTGTGCCCAGATACATTTGGTCCTTGTGGAAATCCTGTCCTCTCCAAGTCATACTAACTCCCCCTTCTTTCATATGATTCCCTGCACTCTGCCCAAGGTTTGGTTATGTGTCTCAGCATCTGCTTTGATACACTACTAGGTAGAGTCTTTCAGAGGCCCTCTGTGGTAGGCTCCTGTCCTGTTACTTGTGTTCTCCTACTTCCAATGTCCATCCCATTTGTCTTTCTAAGTGAGGATTGATCATCTTATCCTGGGTCCTCTTTCTTGTTTATCTTGTTTATCTTGTGTATAGATTTTAGTATGTTTATCCTATCTTATATGTCTAGTATCCACTTATAAATGAGTATACTATGTGTGACTTTTTCCTTCTAGGATATCTCACTCAGGATGATCTTTTCTAGATACCACCATTTGCCTGCAAAGTTCATGATTTCTTTGTTTTTAATTGCTGAGTAGTATTCCATTGTGTAAATGTACCACAATTTCTGTATCAATTTCTCCGTTGTGGGACATCTGGGTTGTTTCCAGCTTCTGGCTATTACAAATAAAGCTGCTACAAACATGGTTGAGCAAATTTCCTTGTTGTGTACTTGAGCATCTTTTGAATATATGCCTAGGAGTGGTATAGCTGGATCTTGAGGAAGCACTATTCCTAATTTTCTGAGGAAGCCCTAGATTGATTTCCAAAGTGGTTGTGCAAGTTTACATTCCCATCAGCAATGGAGGAGGGTTCCCCTTTCTCCACAACCTCTCCTGCATGTGTTGTCATCTGAATTTTTGATCTTAGCCATTCTGATGTGTGTAAGGTGAAATCTCAGAGTCGTTTTGATTTGCATCTCTCTGATGGCTAGGGACATTGTCAAGCCTATTTCTTACTGTTCTTTTTGCTCAGAACCTTTTTCCAGTGTGTACATAGGAAATCATAGGTATTCAAGCAATACACCACGAACAAGTGAGAAATAAATTATAAAGATTCATATGAGTAAGAGAGAATTAAAGCTCTTTAGCTTTACTTTCAAATTAAATCCCAGCTGATCCTTACAAGGTCCTTGTATCCAGATAACATGCTTTAGTTTTCTGTTTTCATCCTGAGCTTCCTCTTACTAAGAATAATAAGAAAGTTGTGGGATCAGAAAGAGTGCATACAATTCCTTTTCGTTTGTGTGAACTATTTCATCATCACTGAGAATGCTGGATCGGGCCCTTCCTTGTAAATAATGAGAATGAACTAAGAGTATTTTCCTGTGTTTTTCCCGTGTACTGCTTCATTCATGGTTAGAGTTTGATTCTCGTGTTCTCTGTTATTCTTCACGACTTCTAGGGCAAGAAGAAGTTAAGAGTTTAAAATGAATACATTATTCATCTGTTACTTCATTATTTTGTATTAGTAGACCCCAGGTTTATGTATAGCCACGTTTTCCAGCCCTCCCACCAAATGACTGAGGCCTTAAGACAAATGTCCATGTGGAAGGAATGATGGTGTAAAAAATGAGCCTGAAGGGAACGCTCATGCCTGGCACAGATACAAGGCTTCTCATTCAGTTGCCTGAAATCTAGACACACTGGCCAGAATCCTAGCTGTGATTCCGGATCATGAAACAAAGGGTTAGACCCTGTGAGATAAAGGGTAAGCTGGGGCGTGGTTGGGGTCTTCAGATAGAGCTCTGTGGAGATGAACCAGCACAGACCTTTGCATCTTGCCTCTGACATTATGTAAGAGAGAACCACCCCCTACTTAAAGAGCTGTTCACTTAGGACTCACAAATGCAACCCCACTCATGCATCACACAAAACCAGCTCTGAACCCGCAGGTGTAGAAGTAAGAGGAGGTATACTGAGCCCTTCAAAGGACCAGAGCAAGAAAACACATTTGCAATGATAACCAAATATCTTTATTCCTGCCTTTAATTTCATACATCACATTGGAAAAATAGTTGTGTCTAGAAATGTAGTTTCAGCAAAGGAAGCCAACAAGACAACATATTATTGGAGTGATTGTGGAAAATTATTTATTACTGGAAATCAAATACTCCATTCAGTTTCTAGTTTACACACCCATAACACAAGCAGAAAGGGGAAGCTTCAGGTCTGAAGTTGGGTTTTTTTTAACAGAAGCATCTCTGAAGAAGCCTTTGGGGATTGCAAATCCTCATCAGAGAGATGAATCCACGAGAGATGGTGTTCCTATCACTGGAAAAACACAATTCTGAAAATCGTACTGACAAGTCTATTTTTTAAATCCTCTTTGTTGTTTCCCTTCGATGTTTTATTTAACACAGCAGCCTCTCTGTTTAACATTCAGACTTAGTCACACTGATTATCTGTTCTGCTTTTTTGAATGCTTAACTACGTGCTATAAATAAACATATCAATTTTCCTCTATTGCTACCCTTGCAGAAAGCTTCAGATAGTTAGAATTAACCTAGTGTCTACTTATCATTAAATATATTTTTCTTTGAAAGAATATATAACATATGAAATTACAAGCCTTTCATGAGTTAAAGATGAATTTTAGAGTGCTCAAATAATATTTACAATGTAAACATCACAGTTATTACATAAAGGAAATCACAATATTCACAACACATTTTATTTGGTTTGGCTATGGAAGTTGTTTTCTTGAATTAGATATGTAGAACTCATAATGTAATCACTTGGTTGTTTTCCTTCAAGAATTCTGGGAAAAAAGGGAAAGAATTAGTGCTTTACACATAAACAATTATTAAAACATATTAGTTATTACTAAACATAAACAATTATTAAATCATATCACATAATTATTGTATCATATTAGTTCCATTCACTAATTTGGCAAGCATCAATTTTTCCTTGTCCTTTGTCAACAGTTTCTGATGAGATTGTGTCTGGCTGAGTCAAGAGAGGACTTTCTAGAACACTGACCGTGGGAAAGGAACTAGAGGGTGAAGGGGCTCTCTTCCTAACAATGAAGCATTTGTACTTTTCACAAGTGGACTGCCCGCAGGAGGGCCTGTAGAACTTGCCCACAGCCACCTTTCTGTAGTAACAATGGACTCTTGTAAATGATCTTACACTCTATTAAGGAACCCATCTTTATACTTTGGTGTCTGCCATGTTCTTTATCTGACAGAGAAATAGTTACCCACACAGCTATTGCTTTTGGTGTTGGGCATGGAACCCAAGGCTTTTTTCAGGCCAGGCAAGTACTCTACTACTAAGTGAGACCCTCAACCTAGCTTTTATCCTTGAGCTAAGGAATGTCTACACATGACAATATTGTTATGGCAAGCTCCTGATCCCATGCTTCCTTCATAGATAAGGAGATAGTTAATTTAACTGATGAAACAAAATACCCATGTAGGTGAGTTCTAAAAACTTGTTTGCTCCTGAAAGCTCTCTTAAAACCTTAGATGGCCACACTGGAAACTAAAGTGAGGCTGGGTTGCCATCAGCCCCCACAAAGGGCAGCCATTTTTCTGTTCTTAGCCAAGGCTGGAATTCTGCCTATTTTCAGATTTTAGAAACCAAGTTCTCTGTGTCCAGCCACTCCCATCCACTTTATGTGTTTTCTTGGTTACTTACATGCTAAACAGAACTGTTTGTAACAGCAACCAGCTGGCATATAGAGCTGTAACCCTCTTCTCCACAGCCCCTTAGAGAAAAGTGCACTAACTTTTGACACAGCGATATACACTTTGTCCCTTGCCAAGTATTGTGAGTAGGCTCAGATGAAATATGAAATTGTTAATGCTTACATAGCTCTTGACAGAATACATGCATTTATATAAAAGCATTTGTGAAAAACAACCTGTTTCTTTTCACAAAATAAAAAAAAACATATTTTTTTATTAAAAATATTCCACAGAGAATGCTGCTGTGCCTCTACTCACTTCACAGGTCAAATTATGATTTTTGTTCTATGAAGATTGTTACGTTTAAAGGAATATAATTAACCCAGACTGCCTTGACATCAGTATACTATGATTCTGTGATATTTCTCCATACTTAACTGAATATCAAACAGGCATTCTTTGGAGCAAATCTTAAATTAATAAAATCAGCCTGATTTGCGTCTCAGAACTAAGACATTTTTTCCCTCAGGAGTGTGACTCAGGAGCCTCTGTGTTTGAATTTCACATGTTGGAGAAAGGTGACTGGACAAGACAGACTCTGTGCAGTGAGCAGTGCCCTGTCATGGCAAGAACAATGCATGATCACCCTAAGGTGCTCACTGGGGTGAGGCATGCCTCAGGCAGAGGAGTTGTGTGGACTAGCTCATCTCTGGGCAGAAGGAGTTTTAGCCCTAAGAGGTTTTCCCCCCACTGGCTCTTTCCTCCTGGTAGCCATGAAGGATACATAGACACACTCACCTCTGATCTTCAGCTCTGCTCGGAGGAGCCTGTTCATTATTTCTCTAGCTCGTCAAGGAAATCTGGAGAGTCTCCCTCGCTGCTACAGACCAGAAGGAAAATGCACATGTTAAAATTCTCAGCTGAGGAGAGCTCCAAAGAAACAAGTACAGCACTATGACTAGGTGATTATTTTTGCTCTGCAAGACATACTGGGGGTGAACAATAACCTCTGCAGCTAGTGATTGCCCATGAGTTGTTCCGAGACTACAGTGTCTAAAATCAGCTTTATGGAATTATCATTTAGTGGGTGAGGAGAGTCCTCTTGTCTGGTTTTGCCCTAACGGAATTAGGCTTAACCCTCACCACGCAGGCAAATCAACCAGGGTGAAGAGAGAGCCCTGGATTCCCCAGCACTGTTCCCAATGTTTGCATCCGAAACAGACGCATGCTTATAGGACTGGAACACACAGCTGCATCATGGGTAAATGTGATAAAGCAGGGTTGCTGGATAGAAAAAGTGTAGGGTTCCCATGCATGGCAAAATTGCTTGTTGCACTTCACATGTTTTAAAAGTGAACACTTGATTAATCCACTCCTTGATTCAAAATATCCATCATTTTAAACCCTGTTGATAATAAAATCAAAGGAAGGAACCTTTAAAAAGTAGGAGTGTCCAGGTCAACATCCCCAGAAATGCTGTTTCCTAATGGCTTTGGGCTAACATTCCTGTATCAGCATTTTAAAAGTTTGCCAGGGAAGCCTGACTTCAGTCAACCTTGAGAGTGAGTGGAAGTTTACATAAAGCAGACAAACACCACACAAAGTGATGCAGAAATAGAGGGGTCTCCAGAGATAGCTCAAAACTTGAAGGCCATTGATACATTCTCATGTATCCTTCCCCTTACCTCCTCTTTCCATTCAGAATGGAGTTCAAGTACTTCTTCACGGCCATTTGCTTCCTAAGGCGGGTGTAGTTATCGGTGAAGACTGCGTCAGAGTGCCGTTTGATTGGCACGGGGTCTTCTGAGATGTTACTGCTGAGGAAAGTGAGGAAAAAGTAAAAGTAAAGATGCCAGCAAGAAGTAGTAGCTGCTCTGCTGCTCTGTATCCTTCTGCCGAGTTTAGCTAAGTTCAACGTAGATGTTTGCTACTTACTTACGGGAAAACAGAATTCAGAGTCAATAAATATCTAAAGCTCTATTTCACCCAGGGTGGGCCTGTTGTATTTTATGCAATAATGTGCATTATTTTCTCTAAATAAATTGAATATTATCAAAGAGTTGTGAGCCCTGAGCAAGGAAAATGACATTCTTGAAAGAAAACTAAAATTTGGAGATGAAGTGTTTTTTTAACTTTTTTTTTTTTTTTACTCTTTACCTGATTCGTTTGCCAATGAGTGACTCAAGGTATTTTTTGGCAGAAATCTGACCCAGAAGTTTACTGTAGTCGCTGGTGAAAACTCCGTCAGCATGCCTGGCATTTCTACAGCAAGAAAACAAGCACAATGATTGCTTGGTAAAGTTTCCTCTCAACGTTATCCCAGCTTTTTAAAAAAAGAAATCTGCAAGCTGCTACATAGCTGCTTACTAAAACTTTATCCAAAAAAGCCCCCTAACACCATAGTAAAAGGAAATTCTTAGTCATTTGGAGCAAAGTATAAGCTCTATGTCTATCAACACCTGGGAAAAAATGGGCTATTTTAGATATGTACTTCATTTTTGTTTCCTGGTTTTTTAAATAAATATTGTCCTAAAGTTCATGTATAGTTTCTATATGTTTATATAGTTTTTTATGCTACTTTAAGTAAAAATACATATTCAAAAAATGTGCTAATTTGGTCAAACTCACCATTATTCTGTATCTTTTGTTATTCTTTCTATTAAAACAATGTGCAACAAAATGTCTTGCAATAGAGAAGACCTTACGTCCACTTAGTGAGCTTTGTAGGTGCACAGGTAACGTGTCTATACTTGGTCTTCAGCGTGACATCTTTGGTCTGTACTGAAATGCTGCTCCAGACAAGCAGTTTCATGAGTGGCCAGCACTGTTGGGTACCTTGACTCTTATCAGGAAGTATCTTTCCTTTGTATCTCTTCCCTCAAGGAAAGCTAACAGCTATAGTTTGGTCTGGATTTGTGGAATCTGAGCCACTGGAATGATGCTCAAAGGATGTAGGTAAATAATGTATTGACCCTTTTGTGTTACGACCTTTCCACATGAATGTCGGGAGCAGTTGCTAGAGCTGACGTCAACCAGGCTGAGAAGTGTCAGGGAAAGCTCTCCTTTTGTTAGATAAAACTAGAATATTTAGTCTTTTCAGATATGTTTCCTAAATAAGATAAACAAAGGTGAACTTACCTGGACACATCATAGTAGGGTGTGTCATTTTCTGCTAAGGCATTCTGCAAAATGTCAGTGTCTGCTTTTAATGATACTTGGTCAGGGTCACCTGCTCCTTCAAACTGCACCCTGTCATCCAACCTATTAAGGTAAAAAAACACTAGGAATGCAATGCAGTCCTTTCCTAGAAAGTGGTATTTATGATCCTGCATCTATTTGAGACAGCATAACAAAATACTGGAACAGGTCATCCATTTGCAAGATAAAAGTAGGATAATTTGACTCCATTGCTTCCATGTTTAATGTGGATATAAGCAGTAATTTTGTGTGAGCTCACAAAATGATGTCATTCAACTTCCATAAGCTTTTCAAACCAAACATAATTTCTGTTTAATTCAATTCCAGCAAAGCTATGAGCAAAGCACATTACATCAGTGTACCTCACTGTGTCCATTTGTGAAGTGTTATTAAGTGGTAGAAAGATTTACATAAGACATAACTGTACAAAAACAAACATTCGATATGCAACCTGATACTTATTCATAAACGTCGTGATATTTAGCATCAATTGCCCAAATACAAGGCAGAATCAGGGTACAAGCTGCTCTTCTTTTTCTAGTTCCTTAGTGTTTATCACAAAGCTTTACACCAGCGTGATATAGTTGTCTTTACTGATCAGACCAAAAGATCTCCACATTTCTGAAAGTCTGTTTCAATATAGCAAATTTAAGGAGCTGCTAGCTCCTCATGTTGTATGTGTTAGCACATTCTGATTAGAAATGTTTTATGCTGTACTGCAAAATAAGAATTTCACTTATGACACATGGACTATAACCTACTGTAGATGCATGTGCATTTTAAATACCAGAACGTGTGTGTGTGTGTTCAGCAGTGGGGTAAACCTCCAAAGAGTTTCAGCTGTAGGGCACTTTTATATTTCTGGGTGAAGATATAGCAGATGGTAAAAAGTAGTCATCCATGGGCATGAAGGTGAGCAGTCAGTGTGAATTTCAATATTCCTATGAGTTGTTCGTCTACTGAGATACAGGCTTTGGTTCTAGTTGTCAAAGCATGCTATACAAAGCAGCCTGTTATACAGTTTCACAGAGAACATTGATAGCTGAGAGATTACTCACTTCACTGAGCATAAGGAAGGGCAAATAACTAAAGAAATAACAATTTGCCATAGAGAATAGTGACCACGTAGACTAGAAAGGTCAAGTATGAACTGACTGGTAACATGAGTCTCCTTCGCTTTAGGTTGAGTTGAGTTAGGGTATGGATGATGAATGGGAAGCATGAGCTTCAGCATATCACACAGGAAAACTAAGAATGTTTGGTTCAAACAGAACATTCTATGAGAACTGTGTCTTGGCACATGTGCTTCCTCATGGTCTCCAATAATGGCAGGGTGATTCTTCCTAGACGGATTACTGTTTGACAAAATGTCATGTGTGCAGATCTGCCCAGCAAGCTTCTAATCTTACAATAATTTTATTAAGTATAAATTTAAATGAAGTTGGCAAGTAAACAACTAGTTTTCTACCAGAAACAAAACCTGATCCAAGATGAAATTACATAGGAATTTGTTATTTTTATTAATGCTGGTTTGGAAATGGGATCCAGCTGGTGTGCAAAACTGACCACTAATGTCTTTCATGTACGAGAGATGGATTCTGGGGCTCAGACCAAGCTTTTTTATTTTGGTTGGAAATGAATGTGCTCGACACTATGATCAAAGTATTGAAGTAAGTCATATGTAATTTAAAATACAGCACTCTCCAGAATAGCATGTGGGAAATCTTACTTAGACACAGAGGGGATGCTTGCCTATCTGAATTGCGAGTTCATGTTCGCAGAATAGAACCTACCTGACTGCAGAAGGTGCTCCAAAGAGAGGCCAGGCCAGTGAGTGGGAGAACAGCACACTGAAGAGTGCCAGGAGGGCCAGGAACTGAGGCTTGCTTCTGGCTTCCATCTCAGTGCTTCTGAAAAGAGAGATAATGATGGCTCTTCTAGCCACCCGTGGCCACAATCTGGGGCCCAGAAATACTTCCAATGGCTCTTGTAGTGTTGAGAAAAGGTCATTTCATCTTCAGGAAAGAGTTGAACTCATCGGCATAAACTTACTTTTTAAAGTAAACATTCCCCCCTCTCCCCGGATTAAGGTGTTAGAATAAGAGCTAAGTTTTCTTTTGCCTCTTCCTCTGCAGGCATTCAGTTGACGTTAGCATCTAACTGGAGGCCACACTTCTGTTGCAGTGGAGACAACTTGCCCCAGACTCAGTGTTTTGAAAACAGAGTTATAGCATCCAAGCTTGGCATCTTTTCTGTTGAAGGGAAACAGCCTCAAGGAATTTGTTGGGTTTCCTACTTTAAACTTTAATGTCTGAATTCTATAAAACTGGAGTGTTACCCACTTAATGATTCTTATAGTAATCTTATTCTCAAGTCTGCATGTTCATGTGTACACATCGGTACAAAGTATAAAAATGGATCATTAAGGCACAATCTTATTTTTCCTGTCTTCTTTATAGATACCACTGAGAACGTATTTCCTTAAGCCAAAGGCCAAGAAAATTAATTCAAGGATAAAAGTTAATGCCTACAGAGTCCCTTGGCATTGGTATAAGTTTTTTTTTCCAGAAAAATTAATATATATGTGTGTATCTGTAGAGCCCATGTATGTGGCACTGGATGCATCACACATTTTATTTCTAAACACTTTCCAGCTAATGTTCAGGTATTCAAGGATTCTCTTGTTAACTATAAGAGTGACAGCATTTAAAACTTAAATGATGAAGGTGAGTCCTTTTTAGATATAATCAATATGAGAAACAGAAAGAAAAGCACTTTACACACAAGTTAAAAACCTCAAAAACAAATACCCCAAGCTGAACCCTTTTCTCAAAACTCCACACACAAGCAAACTCATCCTACTTCATTTTTATAAGGCAAAGTTTAATGAATAGCTAAAGCTGAGACTCTTCTAAGCAGATGGGTTCATAAGAGAAAAAGTAAAGCATTTCTATCTTTATGGAGTGGCTTGTCGTTATTATTTTATTCGGCTATTGAATAAGATGAACACTGCAAAACTGTTTTTTACAGAGAGAAAATTTCAAAAACTCTTACACAGAATTCCAAAGAGGAGAGGAAACGAAGAAGGGAAAGATTTCACTCACCCTTGGCTATCTCCTTCTGGCAGGGCTGTCCTTGGGGCTTTGTGGGAGCTGTCCAGGGTGCTGAAGTCCGGCAAGGGCGAGAGCTCCACCAGGCAGCCTCTGGTCCTCGGGAAGGGGTGGCTGTTGTCAGCTAGTGCTCTGCCCTCCAACCTGACCAGCATTTCAAAGTCCCTCATTTTATAGGGCTTGTGCTTAGGGCTGAGCAATCAGAAGGCTGCCCGAAAGACGTCACAATGGTGATCCCATGGGATGAACAGGTCTTGAAGTTCTTATTAAATTGTCAGCATGCCTGATTTATATGCATTTATAGCAAACAAGTTCAAGACAGAGGAAATGTACTTTTTTTTTTTAAACAAAAAGTACTGAGCTGGATGTGCAATGCTTTAATCTTTACTTAGTTGTAATGAATTAGAGGTTGATCATAATGTTATAGCCAGAGCCCCAGGGATTCCTTTGGAAAAAAGGACATCCTGCAGGGAAAATGCAAAACACTGTGTTTGTTATGCTTACAGTATAATTCCTCTTTTTCACAAAGCGTTAATTAATACTTTTAAAACTTTACACTGTTTATGTAGATACAAATTAAAGTTTTCTTGAAACCTATCCCATTTTTAAAAGCAACCACAAATGATTTTTCCTCTTGTTATTACATTTCTTTTATGCTGAGGCTAGTTCTCAGGGGAGAGGTTCATCGAGTTTCCAGGAGGCTACAGTATGCACACTGAACACTGTTGTTTAAGCAATGGCGTTATCATTCTTCCACACTTCATTTAAAATACTGTAATTCCCACTGCTTTTCTTCACATATTATATCAAGTGTTCCAAAAATAAATAGTGATCAGACTGTATACTCCAGGGGTTAAATTTCTCTTTCTCTTCAAAGGTATTATCTTCATTTTATGTCTTTGTATAACGTTGAATCACTTTGTTTCCTATGCTGCCCTCAAAACTCACCCTACTTCAGAATTTGAACATCCCTGACTCATAAAGGTGATTTCAAAGGATGAGTTAGAAAACCTTTGAGGAGTATTGTGATGATTGCTTAATTTCTCTTTGTTGGTTTTACAGCCAAAGTAGCCTGACATACATTTAATTGGGACTTAGCGTGAAAATGCAGCTATCCTAAGACTGTCACAGAAAACAGACAATGTCACTTCATTTAAAAGTTGTGGGGTGTGCATTCTATTATATTCCTTTTGTGTTTTTCTTGGGAAAATATAGTTCTCAATCCCCTCTACTTTCCTCTACTCCAAGATTTTAGTATCTCCTTGTTGTGCCCAAGGCAGACTGATGCAGTGAGTTATCTTGCTAGGCTTAATCATATTGTCTAATCTAGTTACAAGAAAAATTAAATGAATTAAACTTCAAAATGTCTGGAATTTTGTTTTCCAGTTGACAGCTCTGACTTAAGCCAGAGTTCCTGTGGCTTAATTCCAGGAAATCTTTTTTTTTTTTAAATCAATTGTTACAAACTAGAAGTTAAAATGGTTTTCATATATATATTTTTTTATTCTGAGTGCCTTGTCACCAAATCCTCAGTGAAACAATTTCATTTAAAAGCTGCACAGGCAAAATAGATTAAGGATCACAGAGGAATCGATCCTGAATGAGAAGCAGAAAAATGACATTAAGGTTTCTCATCCTTTGCTCTAAACAAGTGCTCAGAATCATGATGAGTAACCATGATATATTTTTACAATAATAAAAACTTTTTCCCATCATCACAATAAAAATAATAAAGGGAATTTAATTTTCTTACCTATGGAGGAAAATAGACTAAATAAAAAAATAGTTCTTGCTATGAATTTAAACAGGACATAAAATTATTTCAAATAGAATAACAGCACCATCTGCAGTTCAAAGTCTTAACTAACAGATTTTTTAAAAAAAATAAAAAAAAACACTTTGCTAAAAGTGTTTATCAGCTGAAAGAGTTCTCAAAAAAAAAAAAATCATAAGCCCTCCTGTATACCAAAGACAAAGGGACTGAGAAAGAAATTAGGAAAACGCCACTAATAACATAAAGTACCTTGGTGTGACTCTAACCAAGCAAGTAAAAGCCCTGTTCGAAAAAAAAAAACAAAAACAAAAACTCAAGTCTCTGAAGAAAGAAAAAAGAAGATATCAGAAGATGGAAAGCTCTCCCGTGCAAATGTATCAATATGATTAACATAGTGAAAATGCCCATACTGCCAAAAGCAATCTACAGGTTCAATGCAATTACCATCAAAATACTAACACAATTCGTTACAGAACTTGAAAGAAAAATTCTCAACTTCTTATGGAAAAACGAAAAAAAAAAAAAAAAAAAAAAAAACAACCCAGAATTGCCGAAACGATCCTTACAACAACCGGTCATTTGGAGGTATCTCCATCCCTGATCTGAAGCTGTACTACAGAGCAATAGTAATAAAAATTGCATGGTATTGGCATAGAAACAGAATGGTGGATCAATGGAACTGAACAGAAGATCTAGAAATAAACCCACACACTTACAGATTCTTGATTTTTGACAAAGAAGCCAAAACCATACAATGGAAAAAAGACAACATCTTCAACAAATGGTGTTGGATGTCTACATGCAGAAAAATGAAAATAGATCCATACATATCACCCTGCACAAAATTAAAGTCCAAGTGGATCAAAGACCTCAACATAAAACCAGACACACTAAATCGGTGAGAAGAAAAAAATCGAAGAGAGCCTAGAACTCATTGGTACAGGAGACAACTTCGGGAACAGAACACCAACAGCACAGGCTCTAAGAGCAACAATCAATAAATTGGACCTCATGAAATGGCAACGCTTCTGTAAAGCAAAGGACACTGTCATCAGAACAAAACAATAGCCTACAGTCTGGGAAAGTATCGTCACCAACCGTATATTTGAGAGAGGGCTAATATCCAGAATATAAAAATAACTAAAGAAGTTAAAAAGCAACAAATCAAGTACTCCAATTAAAAATGGGGTATAGAGCTAAACAGAAAATCCTCTATGGAAGAATACAGAATGGCAGAGAAACACTTAAAGAAATGCTCAATGTCTTTAGTCAACAGGGAAATGCAAGGCAAAATGACCCTTAGATTTCGCCTTACACCCATCAGAGTGGCTAAGATCAAATACTCAAGTGACAATACATGCTGGAGAGGATGTAGAGAAAGGGGAACACTCCTCCATTGCTGGTGGGAATGTAAACTTGTACAACCACTTTGGAAATCAATCTAGTGCTTTCTCAGAAAATTAGGAATAGTTTAATCCAGCCTATATCACTCCTAGGCAAATATCCAAAATATGCTTAAGTACACAACAAGGACATTTGTTCAACCATGTTTGTAGAGGCTTTATTTGTAATAGCCAGAAACTGAAAAGAACCCAGATGTCCCTCTTTTGAGGAATGAATACAGAAATTGTGGTACATTTACACAATGGAATACTACTCAGCAATTAAAAATGAGGAAATCATGAAATTTGTAGACAAATGCTGGGAACTAAAAAAGATCATCCTGAGTGAGGTATCTCAGGAACAGAAAGACCCACATGGCATATACTCACTTATAAGTGGATATTAGTCATATAACATAGTATGAACATACTAAAATCTATACTCCTTTAGAAGCTAAGCAAAAAGGAAGACCCTAGGGAAGTTGCTTAACCCGCACTCAGAAAGCAAATGGGATAAACGTCTGAAAAGGGAGAAAACAAGGAACAGGACAGGAGCCTACCAACAGAGGGCCTACCCAGCAGGGTATCAAAGCAGATTCATAGCCAAACTTTGGGCAGAGTGCAGAGAATCTTAGGAAAGAAGGGGGAGATAGAAAGACCTGGAGGGGACTGGAGCTCCACAAGGAGAACAACAGAACCAAGATATCTGGGCACAGGGGCCTTTGCAAAGACAGATATTCCAACCAAGGATCACGCATGGAGATAACCCTGACCCCTTGCTCAGAGGTAGCCCGTGGCATCTCAGTGTCCAAGTGGGTTCTCTAGTAGGGGAACAGGGTCTGTCTCTTGACATGAACTCAGTGGCTGGCTCTTTGATCACCTCCCCCTGAGGGGGAAGCAGCCTTACCAGGCCATAGAGGAAGACAATGCAGCCAGTCCTGATGAGACCTGATAGGCTAGGGTCAGATGGAAGAGAAGGACAACCTCTCCTATCAGTGGACTGGGGGAAGAGTATGGGAGAAGAAGACTAAGGGAGCGTGGGATTGAGAGGGGCTGAAGGAGTGGGATACAGCTGGGATCCAAAGTAAATAAATAGTAATAATAAATAAATTGTAATAATAAAAGAAAATTTTAATCACCAAAAAAAAAAAAATCACACACCCACACAAAGAAAACTCACCCATCTGTACAGCAGAGATGATATATTCCTTTTCCAAATAAATATGCTGAAGCCTACAGTAGCTTTGGCATCACTCGCACATCTGGCAATGGCTATAGGATCAGAATGCAGGTCTTTGAGGGTGTGTCTTTGCATTAAGAGCTGGTAACATGTCAGGTGAGCAAACAGCCCGTGAAGATATCAGCACCTCCTCTCCCACTTCTTAGCAAAGGAACCAAGAGCAACGTCAGAAAACTGTCGCTATGAAGGGAGGTCATGTGGAAGGGACTCTGAAGCTAAGAGAGAAATGCAGGTTTGCCCTCACTTTCTTACTGCAAATGGCTACCTGAGCACCACTGTCAGCAGCGGGAGTGAAACCCTCACTAGTCTTTGGCCTGTGTCTGTGACATCTGTGTGATTTGCCTGCACTCAACTCCGGCTCACAGACCCGACATCATGGTTACCATAGGAAGCCAGAGGAGTGGACCTGTGTGTAGGAGCACATAGACTTAGCCCTTTGCGTTTTATATCTCTCGAGTTGAGAGTGGCACTTACATCTTTAGGTGATCAAGGCATAAAAGTATTTGGACACAGAAGATTATATACAATATTAATATCCATGTTCCTATTTTGTTGATTGGACCATGGAAATACTTGTCACATACATACATGATGTGGCTTCTTTTGAACTACAACAAATACCCTGAAACCTTCAAATCCTGATATTTTCTCTGCTTTCATTAAATAAGGCTTCTTGGGGATGGAGAAAAAGCTCAGTAGTTAAACTCACTGGCTGCTCTTCCATAGGATTTAGGAT